AGAAGAGTATTTCCAACATCTTCCTCTAGAATTCTAATAGTTTCACTCCTTAGGTTTAAATCTGTTACCCAGCGTGAGTTGATTTTTGTGAGAGATGAAAGGTGTGGATCCTGCTTCAGTGTAGGTGACTTTTAAGTCTGATTTTTCATGTTTCTTGAGTTCTTTCACTGATTCTTTCTCATCTGGCTTCTTGGTCAAGAACTGGGGGTATTAGGGCTGGTTTATTGCCCTATTTCCATGTCCCCAAGGGTCATTCCTTGACAGTACCAGAGAGAGGAGTGCGGGTCCTGTATTGCCTTAGAGGTGTTTTAGCAAGTTTGATGAACCTCTTGGGTTACCTCTGATCTATTCTCTTCACCTCTTCCCAATGGAGCATAGTGAGTTTGGTCCCCGAGCTTAAGCTCCAAGTTGGTGGATTGTACTTGTGGGTATGAATCCACTGCTCCCTATTAACTTGAGATGGAAGGCAATATGTTCAGCTATGGGGTTGTGCCTTCTGTCATTGATTGTAGTTTGCATGAAGGAGCCAGTTACTGAGGTAACCTGTTGTCCCCGTGGTAGGCTCTGGTCCCCTAGGTTGGGTATATGAATGCCCCAAGCTCTGGGGGGGGGCCTTGTAGCTCCAGGTGTTGCTTGGACCCTGGTCCCCCCTGAGGTGGTGGTAGGACCAAGAGAGATCACAGCTGGAGTGTGAAAGCCTGGGTATGAGAGCTTCTATGCTGGCTTATGCCAGCACTAGGGGGAGCTGTTAATATGGACTTCAGCGCTATCTCACCAAGCTTGAAGGGCTGCTCCTGATGGGAGAGATCAACTGGTGCAATTGCTGAGGTCTCTATCCAGGTTTTTCCTTCCCTGTCCACACACCTGGGCACCTTCCCCTCTGATAGGTCCACTTGTGTTTCCTCTCCACCCACAGTTCGTGTGTCTGGCCTGCTGGCATGCGTCTTCACATGTCAGTGGTGGATAGTGGGATCTCCAGTTGTCCACCCCTTTTCTGCCACTAGATCCCAGGGCGAGAAGGGTAGGCCTCTCTATCCCCAGAACTCTCTGCAAGGAGGAAGCCCCCACCAGGGGAGGCGGGGGATGGAGCTCACCTATAGATCCCTGCTCTCTTGAGCTCCTCCACATTCTCCCAGTGGGCACAGGCTCTCACTTGCCACCCAACCCTGGAATTGGGATCTCACTTCCCCACTACCCCATCCTGCCATCTATGCTGTCAGCAGGTGAACATGCCACATGCCTGTGGGCAGGAGGATCACAGACCGAGGTTGCCCTGCCAGCTGGGGATGGAGCCATGTTCTCAGCAGTGAAAGCAGGTCACTTGGCACAGAGAACTCTGCTGGTTGCTATGGATGGGGGCTGTGGACTTCCTACAAGGCTCTTGAGTTGGGGGGCATTCACCTGCCCTCTTCTCCAAGCCCCAGTCACAGCAGAGTGGCCACTCTCCTCTCCATGCCACTGTGGTGACTGTGCTGACTGAGGCAGGCTCAGCTGGTAGTGCACTCTCCTTGTGGGGAGCCAAGTCCCTCAGCATAACGCACTTTGGTGGTTGCTGTGGAGTGGGTGCGGCCCTGCTGCTAGAAGTGTCTTGAGCCAAAATTACATCCTGGGATGCCAGGAGTGGAGGACATGCAGAGGAGGGGGTGTCCAGATGCAGAGACACTAACTCTTTGGTCACTCATGGCAATACCCCATGGGAAGAGAGCCCTGTGTCCCATTGCTGGTCTGAGGCACTTGAGTGAGGGGAAGAAGAAAAAACCCCTAAAACTTTCGTGGGCTCCAGAACTCCCTGGAGTTAGATCATGCCGGTTACTCCCTTCTATCCTCCTCTCTCTCCGTTGCTCAGTTCCTCCTTGTGGTGATCCCGGACTCCACTGCTGTCTGTCCCTGTGGTCCACTTCTGAGCAGTAATCACTCTCCACTCTCCTCAGACCAATCCTCAACTCTTCTGCCAGGATGGTCCAACATGCTTTGTCTCCAGTCGGCATTCTTGGCTCTGATATATTTCATTCAAATCTTACTGAACAGGATTCATTCTATTTTTCTCCCTTTCTGAATCAGTGGGTCGGTTCTCCAGCAATGAGAACCCTGGCTTCCATCACCATTAATATATTTACTTATTTAATCAGCTTCCTTTACATAGCCACCACCCATCCCTCCCCACTCACGAATGTCTCCTCACCTCATTGGGCTCTCCACACCCTACGTGGGCTCTGGCTGCTCTTGCTGGGCCCCATCTGCATGAGCCCCTCCTCCCCTTGCTTGGCTCCTGCACCCAGACCAGACTGCCCCTGCATGTGGACACTACCATGAGTCCATCCTCTGCCTTAACCTGTGGCCACCACCTTGCTGCAACACACCTAATGGCTTTGGGACTGAATTCTTCAGAAAATAAAGTGGAGGGAAGGGGCAGAAAAGGAAAAGTGCACTGTCTGATACCAGCTGAAACTGATGAGTGCTTTTAGTCTTCCTGCCAAACCAATTGACCAACTGACAATTTCTTATTCAGTGTTTATTGCGCTTAGACATTTGGAAGTTGATGATGGACTACAAGAGATATAAGAAAACATGCTTCCTGACTTCCAGAAACATCAGGGGAGATGAGATTAAGATATTAAATCAAAACTATTAGTATAATAATAAGTTCCTCCTCTGAGTGCTATAAAAATTTGTACTTCAAAAGGTAAAATTAAACTGTGAATATATATTCTAAGCAATGAGCAAAGTCACAATGGCTTAACTCTCACCTATGTGGAAACTACCCAAGTGCCCGTTAATCCATGAGTGGATTATTAAAATTTGGTATATGTTTACAATGGAAATTTACTCAATCATAAGAAATGACAGTGATCTAGAACCTCTTATACTTTCCTGGATTAAACTTAAGCCCATTATCCAAAGTGAGGCACCACAAGAGCGGAAGAATGGGCTCCACTTGTACTCACCATCAAATTGGCACTAACTGATCAACACTAGGGTAATCACATGGCAGAAATACTCTCCAGGGATTAGGGGGATGGGGGGTAAATCCGCCACTAAAGGACACAGAGAGCACTGTAGGGGGGGAAGGGAATGCCTTTAACCTGCACTTGGGTGAAGCAAAGACATAAAGTATAACCATAATGTTTGTACCCTCACAATACCCTGAAATAAAAAAAAAATAATCAAATTGGAGTTTTGAAATAGGCTGACGAAACCAGTGATTATGATGACAAACAATTCTTAGTTGCTGGTTCTCAATCACTCAGTCCTATAGATTTTTACTTAATGTGCATGAAGGCATCAGATAATAATTTTGTAAAGAAATGTTTATGGGTTTGCTCAGTATAATACTTATTAGAGTATATTACTTATTATAGTATATTACAAACAGAACAGGTGGTACAAATGCCACGATTATAGCCACCACAATAATTCTTACTTTAATCAAACAATTCTTAATAAAACTGTTGAGAAATATTTATTTTCTTATCAGAGCTGAGAGGGAGTCAACGGTACTAACTGGGGGTGGGTGGAGATTGTCCTATGAAGACCAGACAATTGGAATTCATATATGTGGCTTTGGTTTAGTCACCTCCTTTATATCATACAATATACACTCTTCCAAAGACACTGAGAGAGAACAATGAGTGTACAGAATTCCTAATCATTGATCAAATGCCCTGGGTTAAGCTCTTCTTCATTTCGGAATTTTATTTACAATGTAAATTGCGATCTCTGGTGTTCTTAGGTGTTTCTAGAAGAACAAAGCAGAAGTCCTTAGGGAAAGTCAGGCTCCACTTATGGTCCCATCTCTTGACTCAACCTTTAGAACAATAGGTTTTTCTGGTTGAAGAAGTCCCCTTGGGCTTAATTTCACAGGGATCTGCAACAGTTAAACAAGCATATGGAGAAGCCATAAATGAAGGACATGAAGAAAAGATAGAAGCAAAGTAGAAAAGATACATTAAGGACAATAATGCTTTGCAAATGTATAAAAACTACTTTCAGCATCATGTATCTTGGATTCTGTATTCTTATTCTATAAGCTGTGTGAAGATTGGATAGTGAGAGCATTCTTCCATCCATCATTTAATACAATATTTATTGAGCGCCTATTTTGTGCCAAGTCTGAGATAAACTCATGTTGGCTTCAATTTTTTTAAATTAAAATTCATGTAAAATGAATGAGGTTTAAAAATTTATTCCAAATTCTTAGGCATTACAGCAAACTATTTTTGAACAGCCATATAAAGATCATTTTGTGTATGTTGAATTTTGCAATGTTCTCCTGAGTAGGTATTACACACTTTAATCACAAGGGCAGTCTTTGAATTCTAATCAATCCAGTCACCCCTCTCAAGTGAAACCATGCAATATAATGATGGGAAGTTGCCTTTAGAAAGTATTATGCTTTTGTTTTCTAATATCTACTCCAGTTTTTTCAAATGTAATGCAAAAGGGGAACTTCTCCTGTTCTACAGCATTTTGATTAATACTTTGGGTACAATTCTCACTGAGTCACTCCTTCCACGATTGGGGAGCCACCAACAGAGCAACCTTCTGATCTTAGTAAACTGCAGGGCAAACAAATTGTCATGGAGATGGAGAAATGCCAGCCTGTAGAGGACTGGGAGCTTGCCTGGGAGTATCTTCCCCATCCCAGCCATGCCAGCAGCCAGCTTTCTCTCGGATCTGAGCCGCCTATCTGTACACACTTATTGGACAGCTACACAGCTTCCCTAAAGCCACAAATAAGATGGAAGTATTTCCATCTTCCTCCTCTCCCATGCTAAAAGCCTACATTATGGGAGGAGTTGCATATAGAATGAATGATTCTAGAAATAAGACTTATAGTGCCTTGGTTCATATGAATTAATGACAAGTGTTCTTGAAGGTCTTCAGATGAAAGATCCAAGTATTTCTACAACTGCAACACCTTATCATTTTTAATTTCAAATGGAATAAACATATTTCCTTGCAAAAAAGACAGATGGACATACACAGACACAAATGTCATTTGTTAAATTTTAAAAGTAAAAATCTTAAAGTTTGCATTCATGAGATCCAGAGAAACTGCAGATCACTCCTTAAACATTTACTGAATATTCACAATGGATGATGTCTTGATCAAGACACCATTCTGATTTGATGAAAGCAATAAAATGAGGTGATATGGTTAAGTGAGTGGCAAAGGTATTCTTAGATAAAGAGAAAATATGGAGAAGAAAACTGGATGATTAACGACAAGGTATAAAGTTAGGTTGTGATAACATCCTGCAGTAATCAAAAACAGAGCAGAGAGTGGACCCTGGAGTAGGGAGGGAAGATTCTTTGAAGGGACTTGAAGTTTGCACTAATATTTGAAAGATAAGTACAGAAAGAGGAGGAGAGTGGGAAGAATATTTCTGGAGTTATTAACTGGTTGAAAAGGAGCCAACCTGGTATGGAGCAGGGCACCTAAAGGGTGAATTCAAACATTCAGGATGGCCCTAGTCTGTGGGATCCTTCATATCTGGCAGAAGTGCCTTAACTCAGTGATTTTCCAACTTGGCTTCAAATGAGAACCAATGGGGGAACTTTTAAAGCCACATTCTCGGTTAATTATTTTAGAATTTCTAAGGTGACCCAAGGTAGATTGATTTTTTAAAGCTCCCTGGTGATTCCAGTGTGGTGGCAGTGGTTAAGAAGCCCTGTCACGGGGAGCTTCTGTAAGTTCGGGTGGAGGAAACACCCTGGAAAGTCAGGATGAGATAATCACTGCACTGTGTGATTGTGCAAAACTCCTCCTTATCTTTCCAATTGATTTGAAACTGAATTGAACTCTTGCTCAAGTTCAAAGAGACTGGACATCATTCTTTTTTTTATTTTTTAAAATTTTATCTGTCTTGCCACTGCTAACTGGCTATGTTATAGAGACTGGACATACTTATATCATGCTAATCTGCATTGACTTCAGATGATCTTTATAGTTTGGTCTTTATAAAACTATGTTTTGAACTGCAGAACTGAAGCACCCTTAAAGATCATTGATGGCTCCAAATACATTATTTGCCCCATGAAATAAATTACTAAAAATATGAACAAGCATATTCTTTTCTTAAATATAGACTCCACAGTAAAGAAAATTCTCAATAAAACATTATGTATACAGAAAGTTTACTGACCTGTGTTTCTTTACAGGGTTTGAAGGAGAAGTTCTGCAGTATTTTGGCAAGAGCAAGTTTCATGTTCATGAGAGCAAACCTCATGCCAATGCAGTTTCGGGGCCCGATTCCAAAGGGCAGGTATGTGTAAGGATCTATGTTGTCCTTGTTCTTCTTGCTGAACCTGGCTCCACAATAGTAGATAAAAAAGTTAATGAGAGAAGAAACACAAAGTCTATATGTTAGGAGTTCTGACTTAGACCTCGTGTCCCCACAAGCAGTAGTAAACAAAATACTCTGATGGGTTAGTCATGGCAATCCTGCTATGGTTATTTTGCTATGAAAATTGTAAGCTATAGATCCTCAGCATTCTCCTTATGTTATAGAAGCTGTCCATTATGTTGAGATGAGATGAGTACGGTTTTAAAAACTTACTTCTAACTACTAAAATTATATTCCTGGTGGTGATGTGCTCACACTCTAAAAGGCACATAAGTAATGGGAACGATTAATAGAAAAGTAGTTTCCTGCCTCAAATCACACTTATGTTGGTCATATGTGCATTGAGGAAAGAGCAAGAGAAAATATCTAGCACTATTTAAATTGGGCTTGTTCTTTTTTCTTCTCCTCACCTATCCTCTGCTTTCTTTTCTTTCTGAATTTCTTGCTCCCTCTTCCTCTTCCCTGTCTTGTCCTTCTTTGTCTTTGTCTTCATAGTCCTCCTCGTCCTTCTCATTCCCTTTGTCCTCCTTCTTGTCTTCCTCCTCCTTACATCTCAATCTCGCCCTCTTTCTCTTTCCCACACATAGAATAATTTAAGTAAGGTAATTTACATGGGCGTTTGATGCTACTCTCCTGTAATGTAATCACAGCTTTCCTTGTCTATCTGTTCCACTAGGCTATAAATTCTTTGAAGGTTAGACCTGTACTTTGTTGAAATTGATTCCTCACTATATGATTATATTAAGAAAAGATATTGTTGTGGGTAAAGTGATAATGACATTGTGGTGTTGTGTTTTAAAAGATGTTCTTAGATTTTGGAGAGCACTCTGAAATTATTAATATCAAATCAGAGCTTAATGAAATTGGCAACAGGGAAACTATGCAAAAGATTAATAAAACAAAAAGTTGGTTCTTTGAAAAAGTAAACAAAATTGACATGCTCCTGGCTGAACTCATGAAAAACAGAAAAGAAAAAACTCTAATAAGCTCCATCAGGAACAAAAAAGGAGAAGTTACATCCAATGCCAAGGAGATTCAAGATATAATTTATGAATATTACAAAAACCTTTATGCACACAAACTGGAAAATG